TCTCTCCCCAGGGCCGTCCTGGGGGGAACAGTGCTCGTCGTCTGAGCTGTCCTCATGCTTTGACACATTTGCGCTCTCTGGCACGCTTGCCATGCCACCGCTAAACGAACCTTGGTCTCTGCACCGCCTCTTCCGCCACTCGGGCCCATCGAGCTACTTGACGCGAGCGGGTCGTCCGTCATGGCATGCAGCAGCTGCGTGGGCCCATGATCCTACCCTTGTAAATCGTTATGTTCCGGGGCTTGTAGCACACGGCTTGGTAGTAGTCGGGGGATGCGTTGCGGAGGCGGTCGCGTAGATTGGTGCATTTGCAGTTCTGGGCCTGAAAGATGGGGTCCTTGACGATCGTTGCCCACGCAGTGCCGTGCTTGTTGTAGCCAGCCTTGAGGGCGCAGTCCTCCTCCTCGGTGAAGGGGCGTCGCTTCTTGCTGCGCATCTTCTCTAAGATGGAGGTGCCGTCTGGGAGCGCGTAGCGGACCTTGGATGAGAGATGCGTGATGGCGTTCGGGTAGCATTGCTAGTAGGAGCAGTACGTGCGGAAGCTGCATGAGGGGAGACGAGGAAGCAATGATGGCGGTAGTGGTAGCAGTAGCAGGAGTACGACCACATCGTCAGACAAGCTGGGTGACAGGTGGACCTATACGGATGGACACACATAGTACCGGTCTTTCAGATTGACTGGCGACTGTCCGTGGGAGGCTACGCAGCTTGTTGCATCCAGCGATGAGCATGTGCGTCTCCTCCATCGTCCACTTCTCCCGGGGCTTCTTCTCTGGTTTGTCGTTGCTTTGTAGTGGTGAGGCACCGGTGTCGCCACCGTAACAAGTGAAGCTGGAGGCAGCGGGCAACGGATGCTTGTGGTGGGATGATAGCCAGGCGACGTCGGGTGTAAGCGCAGAGATGTAAGCCCACCAGAGCGCTAGCGACGCGCTTCGTACCAGTACCGCTGGGAGCAAGTTCAGCTTTGCAGCTATCTCCATCGCTGTCCGAGACAGTGGTGATGGTCCTTACTCTACATTGGAGGCCACTTGGGCATCTTTCGCTGCGTCTGCTCAGCCCTCCCTCACTGCGCTGCCCACATCTCTGTCGTACTCTCCCCGGCCTTCCTAATCTGTAATGAACGCAAACCTTGCTCGCTCTTTGCTTGTCTACCCACCTATCGACGCTCGCTTCCTCCGTGTCTCCTTCTACCGGCCATCCTCCGTCGCATCACATCCACAATACCAGTCGCCAGGGAATCCTGTCCGTGGAATTGCGCTATCACCGATTTGCGACCCTGTCCACCAAACGTACAAGAGTCAGCTCGAATTCACGTCGGCTACCAGCTGCAAGTTCCGGGACCGTCTCAATGCAACGCGATCCGAGCTCGTTGCAGCGCAAATCCACCGGCGGCCATGTCCTATAAGTCCGCTGCGGCTATCCTAGCGTGGTCTTGGCCGTGCGGACAACTTGATCATTGCCGTGGGCGACGTATCGCACTGTTCGATTATAGACATTCAGTAGCGAGGAATTTGGCGACTTGTCCTGTATCATCTCACGCCCGATTTTCCGCCGAAGAGCCCGCGCAGATGTCGACTTGCTGCCAAAGATGTTTGTGAAATTATTGCTGCCGTGCGCCATGATTTCGTCCCTGCATTTGCACGGCCACAAAATTTCGCTTTTTTCCTTTCTATGAGAAAGTCGATGAGTATACTGGCCTCTACTGGATCCTCGCTGGAATAAGCATGAAGTTGAGATGCAGACAATCCGCACCTCAGCTTCATGTTTATTCCAGCGGGGATCCGTGGATGCTGTGAGCCTGAGAACTGCAAATGGGTACAGTGATACATGAGGCCACGAATGTCGCACTTTCCCACTGAGAGCTCAGGGTTGATGTATCGGATAAGATGGAAGCCTTGCTGCCGCAGATGTCGTCAGAAAGGCTGGACCTGGTTACCCGCTCGCTTGCATTGTTTATTGTTTCCGCTCACCCGTCTATCGCCCAGGACGCTCCCTGCTTTCGCCAGTTCCTCACCTTGTGTCCATCTCCATTGCTCATGTTGCGGCTCACTTACTACGGTTCTGTCTGCTTCGCTGGTAAGCCTCACAGTGTTGTACATGGTTCAGTATGGCAGATATTCACAGATTCGTGCACACGGGCGGCATTGGACGATGGTGCACTCACCAATAGACGTCCTCGGGCATTCGACAGGCATAGGGCAGCACACCCCAGGAGGACTTTGTTCTTCTCAGGCTTCAACAGCGATGGTAAGTACATATGTGCTATGTACGGTAGCGGAAGAGCTTATTGGGTATGTTGGGCCAGATTGGTGGCGGCTCGCAATCGAGCTTCCAAAGTCAGACAACGAGGATGGCACCGGGACGTTGGGCGCACGACGCGGTGCGGGAGATCAAGTGTCACATCACCTTTCAGACCCATTGTTGGCTCTGGGAACAGGCTCATATTTCATCACATTCTCCCGGCAAGATTTGCAGCTGTTTGCTCAAGGCGAGCCCATTGACCGCCCACGCGGCCGCACATGTGGCAGTCGAAGCCAAAGCAGACAACACTGACTTATACACCTCCCGTCGACAGGCAGAGATGTCCACCTTGGATGCCGGCGCGGCATAGGCTGCGAGAGATCCACCTACGTTCCTGCTGGCCCCATATAACCACGGTTTCCTCGCCTCGCTGCAGGCCTCGAGGCATGTTCCTAGCATCCCGCGCTCTCCCCTGTCCCCGCTTTCGCAGGATGGCGACAGTGCGCCCCCATCACGGGCACGCCTGTGCACCACGAACGTGACGGAGCGCAAGAAGCGGTGCAAGTCAAAGTCCAGCGTCCCTCTCGAACTCGACGTCCTTCCGGTCCAAGAGGACCGCAAGCGCGTCCTCGCTCATGTCTGCCCGGTCGCTGCTAGTCCAGTGACGAGGGGCAGTCGGACGCCGGAGGTCCGGGCTTTGTGTCAAGTGTGGCGATGAACGACCTGTTTCGAAATAGGGACAACTACCGGGGTCATCACACGGGCGAGAAAATGAGAGTGTACGGATTGTAAGTACGCGTGCGGGACTTGTTTGGCCTGATGAGCCGCTCACGCGTGTTCAACCGCAGGGCCGCTACGTCGATGATGATGAGGGGGATGCGGGGGTGGCTGGGAGGGACGAGGGGAAGGCAGCTGGTGCGGCGCTATCTGGAGAGCGGGTGGGGCGCTCTGGTACTTGGTACTGGCCGTGAGAGGTGAGTTGAGGTGGTACGTACCTTTGTCTGCAAGTCCCCTCCGCCGCTTGGTGCCATGAGTTTCCGGCACCGCAATTTATTCACTTACGATGTGGCAGACATTGTCTGCTGTCGCTTGGGCAAATAGGGGTACCTACTGGCGGTCAAAGTGCCCCGGGCCTTCGGTGTACTCCAGACAGCTGAGCAGTTCGAGGGAGAACGGGAACAAGCATTAGAACGGTGTGCGCGATAGAGGATCAACCAGAGTTGGCGAGAAACGGAGGAAGCGGTGTTGGCAGTCGGACGAGGTGGTGGCGGACAGAGAGCGAGTTAGGAGTGGATTAGGCGCCCGAGCTGTACGGTGACTTGTGTTCGCGGCTGCTGTCTGTTGCCTTTTTTTTTTTGCACTCTCGAATTTCCCTGTACTGGTAATGAGATATATTGCACCATACTCTACTGTACTGTACACGACAAGCCTGCTAAAACCGACTGCCTCGGCTGACTCTGCCAAGGTGCCAAATCGCCTCTCCCACCGCTGACAGCTCCCAGTGCCCCTCAGTGCCCCTCAGTGCCCCCCAGTGCTCCCCCAGTGCTCGTTAGACACCAAAAGAACGTTCATGTCAGTGTTTCCATCTGGTGCAGAATAAATCTCGGTTACTTACCCACCGCTCCCATTGGTTCTCTCTGCCGAGGCTACACTTGGCCACACCATCCCGAGCCCCGCTTCGTCCTCTGCACGCCGACCTGTCCGACGCTCACCCCGCCCGAGCCCGCGTGCTGCGTGTGCTCACCACGGACCTGGCACACGGCCAAGCTTCGCGAGGCTAGCTTTGTTCCTGGTCATCTGCTCGCACGTATCATCTCTCGCACTGAGGGCGAGATTAGAAGGCGGCCACATACACACGCACTACATGGATACAGGCCAATAGCGACACACTAGCGTACACAACACGATCACTAATACACGACGGGCATCGCCGCACGGGCAGCTCCGGACACTCCTTGAGATCCAGCACTCGCTTCGACGGATTCTCGCTTTCTTTCTTGTTCTTCTTTGGAACCGCCCGGGCAGCGCGCTGGAGCTGCTGCTGGGCAGATTAAATGATAGCGAGCTAGCGCAGTCGGCCACCCGGCAACCGGCAGCGGGAACAAAACGATCATACGAGCAGCGGGGGCATGGGATCCGCGTCTCTCCGGTCAAGGATGTCGTAATGGCCCGGTCTGATAAGGAGGGCATTGAGCGACAGGATGCAGGTATGGCGCAAACACCCGTATACTATGCATACGCACCTGTACAGAAGGTTCACGGGCTCGATGAACGTAAACGGCGCGTTCTGGAACGGGACGAAGGACACCTGCCCCTGCGGGTCGTGGCCGTCGAGGTAGGCGA